GGGGGGGGATGTTATGGTTATAAAGTTTGTGAAGAAGTACTATTTGGGAGAAGACTTTAAAGCTTCGAAAATAAAACTGGTGAAGAGAACTTTTTGAGAAGTTATCTGTCAGTATTTGCTAGCGCTTTGTCCCTACGCTTGGGTCAGGAAAAGCCTCAATAGGGAAATGAAGAGAGTACACCAGCTGCGTCTGTCTTCAGTCTAGAGGCTTACCCATCCCCTACTGCGTTTACCATAGTCCGCTAGACTTTTCAACTATCGACACTCCAAAAAAAACAACAATCTTTGCAAACATCTCTATCCAAGTCCTTCCGTGTAACAAAATGAGTAAGTAAAAAGTTTTATTGTAAACCGGTTTCTCAAAAACTGTGACAAGACAAATATAAGATCACAACAACAAAACAAAGCGATACCAGCACGAAAAAACACTGGACTTTCAAACGTACAAAATGAAAGAAAGAGAATTTGAATGTCGCAAGATGTGAGCTTTAACTGAATTTTGCCTGGGAGAAGTCCATTTCTGGATGTTGTTCCATGAATCTGCAATAGAATTTGTATGAAAATAACCAAAATTGAACGACGTACTTCTTTAGAATATCTTGTTTCTTCTTTTCTTCGCTAGTTGGTAAACCAAGTTCCTTTTGACGTTGGTCATACATCATCTTCTCAACCTGAGCGAAAAACATCTTGCTTGGAAGTCTACAAGAGAAGTCGCTCAACACACCATACTCCTCGTTTCGCCATCAAGATCGGATAATTTTGAGTTTTCTGGTTGCACTTTCTTAGTATTGATTTCTGGTTCACCTTTGACCACATACCTCCACCATTCCATTCCGTTCATCTACAATATTTTCATTTTCTACCAGAAGTTCCACAATACAAACCAAACGAATATCATATATCAAATATTTCTACATCTGCAGCTTAAGAACTCAAAAAAATCTGACTCAGGTTGAGATTTACCTTTTCAAATGAGACAACCACAACCTTCTTATCTTCAAGTACCCACGCTGAGGACTCGGTCTTGATCTGGAAAACTTATGTTTTCAAAAATACCGCGGCGGCTTTCAGAGTCACATCTTCACATAAATCTAGTAGAAATTATGATGTAAAAAA